CACATGCATTATTTTAATGATGTCCTTACTACGTTTCTGGACTATGATCTTGGTAGTACCCTTGCTGTCTATGGAGGATCAGAGTATCAGAGTCAAAAGTAACAATTTTTATATTATATTATTTTATTTTTATATTAATTTAAACAATTATATTCATTTAGTAACATAATATATCTTAGTGTAGGCTATATATTTAGAGTTTTATAATTAATTATCTTCTTGTCGATCCACCAGTTCAAATTTACAACTGCGTGTTTTCTGCGAAAAAATAAGGGTCGTTTTTGGCTTGTTGAAAAATTAAAATTCATTCTCTGCCAGCAGGTGGTGCTTTTCGCCAGGAATATAGCCGTTTCCCCCGTAACCGCAGTAAACAAAGCAGCGCAGCACCTGACTTTGAAACTTGCAGAGCTCATATTTAATCAATTAAATAGCCATGAACATGATGTGTGGCGTGAGAGTGCTATGGCTGGTCGGACATAGCAACAGTAACTAAGTTGGGGGGGTTTGCGAAGGGTCAATTGTACATAACTAAATACACAACTATAATTTAACATCATAGTGTACATTGCAATAGTAAATATAACAAACTACAAACGACTTAACGTAGAAATGTACACTAAACTACTGGCAAATAACTTAGAATTGCACTCTACACTACAAAATGTAATGCTACTGTACAATGCAGTATGTAAAATGGTTTTATAATGTTAAAGTGCGTCTTAGGTATTCTATGCGCTTGTGTATTTTCACCAAGTATTCCTGATGAATTGTTATGTGCAGCCGAAGACAAAACCATCTTGAGAGACTGATTCATGACACACACACACACACAGCGGGTCTGCCCCTAGAAAAGAGTCAGTGAGCTGAACACACAATCAGGCTGTAGACTGGGTGAACAGCAGGGAGTGTTAGGACAGAGGGAGGGGAGGGAGAAGGACACTTCACTGGAATTAGCTTCAGCTCAGATGGGAAAACCAGACTGAAAACAGTGGGGACAATACTGCTACAGGCGCTTATTCTTGTCTTTCACAACACGCGTGTGTGTGTGTGGCTCCACATTGAATCTGTTGCTCCGTTTCAACACCTAGAAAGTTGCCTCCAACATGAAAACAGAGAAGGCAATCCCATAATACTCTGGGATAAGCTCAGTAAAACAAGACTGTTGGAAATGTTGATTTATAAACACACTTATAATCAGTTTTATTCAATGTATTTATGAAAAGAGTCATTTTTCTGTGTATTTTATGCTGATTAGCTTAGCATCATGCTAACATCAAACACTACTGAAATCAATAGTTTGTTGAATATCCAATGCATAGCATTTGTCAGCCTAGAGCGTTTCAAATTGGTCAAACACAGATGCCAATGCAGGCAATAGATACTGAGGCAGCTTGCTAGGTTTTGGTAAAGAGCCTGTGTGTGTTTTTTCCTGTTTACAGTTGTTGCAGCCATCTTTATTACACACATTCACTCTAAATCACACAACTCTAGCTGACAGCACAGATCATTGCTGTTTTACAAGTTGTTTGTCTCCTCCCCATCAACTTCTCTGTCTCACACACTTCTCACTAAGGAAGAGAAGGAGAAAGTGGCAAGACAAAGAAAGGCCAAGAGAGAAGGATAGAAAAAAGGAGAAAGAGAGAGATAGGGGGAAAGTCGGTCAGACCCCCTCCTCGGCAGAACAGGAATGCAGGGAGTCTGGTGAAGAAATGTGGAATGGGTCTCAAGGGGAGGGGGTATAGTCTAGATGTAAACACTGTTTGTGTGTGTGTGTGTGTGTGTCGCTCTATGAGTATAGCGGAGTGTGCGTGCACACAGTGTAATGGGTTCGAGCGCATTATGAGGTTGTGTTATATGTGTCCCGTATGCATGTGTTGGTGTATTTTGAGAAAAGGGGGCTCTTTAGGTAGGCCAACTGTAAGGAACCGCTCCTCGTCTCTGATGACAGCTTTGGGCCAATGAGGTGATTTTATCATGCATGGAAAAGTACCAGCCCCACTTAAACATTGCACTGATCCGAGACCAGCTTTCCAAACTCAATTCCACGACTCTTCTGAGATATTCCAAACCTTTGCCCTTCCGTCTTAGCTATAGTACTACCACTACCTAAATTTTTGCAGAACTCATATACATACAATTCACTGTAGCTGAAATGAGTAGTAACACATTCTCTTGCAAAACCTTTGCATCCCCCCCCAAAAAAATCTTTGTGTTTGCTCTCAAAATTTTGTTCGCTCCCAAAACTTTTGCTTTCGCTCCCAAAACTTCTGCGTTTACTGAGAAACTTTGCATTTGCTCGCAAAAGCACTGAAATAAAGTCACTCAAAACAAAAACACTTTATACATTTCAGGCAAATTATGATTACCATTTATTGTTTATCAAATGATTAGATTATCATTTAAAAAATATTAATTTTTGCAGGGTTCCTTGCACAATACTATGCATGATTCATAAACTAATACATTTTCATATAATCAACTCCATATGTATGGCTTTTCTGGTGTAGTAAACTTGCTTGGTAGCTCACCTGGTACAGCACTGCAATTGCAATGCAGAGTGCATAGGTATAGAAGCAAGTTTAAATTGGCTTAGTTGCTTCAGCGAATGTATTTTCTGTTAACATTACCTGTTAGGTTTAGTGTAGTGGTATGTTATTTTCAAATGCGATAGAGAATTAACCTTTTAATGCTACTCACTGGACATTTCATTTCTGAACTGCCACAACATGTACAACAACAAACGGAATGAAATATTGCCAGATTCATGTTCATCCATTTTAGATGCTTTTAACACCACTCACTGGGTATTCCACTTTGAAAGTGTAACAAAATGTGCAGGAAGCAACATAATATCATTTTGAGGAAAAATCACCACAGACATGTTTTTTCCAATGAGCTTGGGTTGGTATTTAGAAATGGATACAAAGCATAAAACATTATAAGCACAGTTTATTGTTAACATGATATTTCAAACCTCTTATGGTCTGTCTGGATTTTAAACAGGCAATCCATTTAGTCACTCAGCTTTGTAGCACATACATTCTCATTTAAAGCGACTTTCAGTTACACTAATTGCCAGGACAGATCCTCTGGAACAACCTGGGGCGGAACATGAGGAAGTGTCGCGCTCCAGGGAAGAACGGTGACAGAATAGGGCTGAAATCATAGCACTTCTCAGTTCCTGGGTCAACACTGCTTGAGTTTGAGCCCACAACTTCTGTGTTCACAGCTCGGATCATTACCCATCACAATCTGGAATTTAAACACTTAATTTAGGCTCTTGTTGAAAAAGTATTATTAAAGGATTAGTTTCATTTTCGTACCCTAAAATGAAAATTCTGTCATTATTCTGTCACTCCAAACCTGTATTTCATTTTTTTTTTCATGAGCTGTTCAGAATTTGTGTGAGAAACAGACCATTTAAGTTGTCATTTGCTGGAAAGTCATTGATGTTAAACTTGAAATGTTCCGGGTTTGACATTAATGACTGGTTGGTTATTGCATGTTTCTTGACTAGTCATGATGCAAGGGGAAAGAATTTACGGGGGTAAAACAACTTAAATGGATAGTCCGCCCATCACTGTCTCCTATTCATGTACTTCCAAACCTGTATGACTTTACCTTGTGTGGAACACAAATAGAGATGTTTAGCAGAAGGTCAAGAGCTGTGTGCTGCATTCTGAAATTATGATATGTGAGAAACAGGCTGAAATTTTAGTTGTTATTTGCTGAAAATATTCCCCAAAGTGATTAATTTCAAACCTGAAATGTTTCTGGTTTGAGATCAATAACTCTAGTTGGTTCTTGCATGTTTCATGATCAATCATGATGCATCAAAAAATAATTTAAGACCAAACATTTTGGTTGGTTTCTCAAATGAAGCTATAATGTATGGCTGCAAAAAATATTTATATAGATTAACATTCATATAGACTACTTTTATGGTGCTTTTTTCCTTTCTAGTGCTCAAAAGTGGAAATCGTTGTTCATTTTTATCATATAGCAAAGATCAGCTCAGGCATTCTGCAGAATATTGCTTTTTGTGTTCCACAGAGGGAAGAAAGTGATGCGGGAAAACGATGAAGACACGGTTTTCCTTTTCTGGATGAACTAATTCTTTATTTATTACTGATGCAATAATTAAATGAAAGCTAGGATGCACCTTGATAGAAAAGTCTGTCTATAAATAGAGTGAAATAAAGTCAATTAATCAATTAACTTGATATGGTGTTCCAAACAGCCTTTAAATTCTACCCCACTAATGTAATGCTGGTGGTCTATGCTGTTCATCTGCTGGTCTAGGGAGGTATAGAGCCTCAGGCAAGGTTGAGTCAAGGTGCTGTGCTTAATTCAAACGGGGAGAAAAACTATATGTGAAGGTTGAGGTGAAAGATTGAACTGTATACTATTATTACTTTACTAGAACTAATGATTTGAATAAATGATGCTCATTTGTGGTTTGTGTCTTATTCAGTGCTAAGAGGGCATTTGTGGCAACACTAAGTAGTTGAAAAGGGGCAAAGAACTCTCTGCATGTGTAAAGAGAGAGAGTGTCTTGCCTTTCTTGGAAGTGTGTGTGTGTGTGTGTGTGTGTGATATTTTTAGCTTGTTCCCTCCATGAGAGGGTGTGCTGCTGGAACACTATGCTTGTGTGTTTCGGAAACAAGCTCCAGTGCTACCAGCAAAAACTTCCACAGCTTACACATGTACACACAGAGACACAAACTGTTCGCCTAAAAAGACTTCTGACCTTAATGATACATACATATCAACAGGTTGAGCACCAAAACCACAAATGCTTTCCAGTATTTTATTTAGTCTTTATTCATTTTTATTTGAGAATTTGTTCTAATAGCTGAATTGTGCACTTTGGGTCAACTTCTGTTGCTTTTAAATGTGATTTATTAATACATTTCCACTTGACTGCTGGACCTCTGTAGCTAGATAATAAGAACCAAATTTGCTCTGTTGTCCAGACTAAAAACTAAAGACTATATGACTTTATTCCTGGTCTTATTTTGCAACATTCAACAAAAGCTTTTCCTGTAAGCTATTCTGCAACAAAACTTTTTTCATGATCAAAACATTTTGAGCAAAAGATTATTTCTAATATATATTAGAAATGTATTAGAAAATTATAAATGATTTATCACTGGATAAAATATTATTGGGAGATATAGAGTGCAAACTAATATGTATATGCATCTTATGTAAGTAGTTTGCTATACTGTTATAAAGATAATAACTATTTATTTACATTACAAGCTATTAGGAATTAATCCATACTATTCCTATATATAACATATAAAGTTTACTTCTATAATTCTTATTTGTAATGTTTATTTATTTATTTTAATGTTCCTAAATTATTCCTCACTGAATATTCTGTCTTAGTCAAAAATCCATAATACAGAAGTTAAATGCTTTGTGAATTGCCATGCTATTTTCAAGTCAACATAACTTTATTCTGGTACTGAACAGCCATTTTTCAATCAATCAATCAATCAATCAATCAATCAATCAATTGCAGATCCAAGCCCACCCTACATTATTTCCCACTAAATGTTCAGATACGAAGCATTACAGACGTTAAATGTCTCACGGATGCCATTTCAGGTTGTATTTAAGTTACTCCGCTTTAAACTTGTCTATTAAGAGCAGTACCACTCAGGTCAGAATGAGAGGACAACCTCTATCAGCGCTCATGGAACAGCATGTTGTATCCACACAAATCTTGTAGATATTAACCTTCAACCTCATTTTCCTTCCTCATTTAGGATAGTTAATTACGAGGGCCTGGCCAAGCTCTCCTCATTGTGTGTGTGAAGAGCATAGTAGACAGTCGACTAATTTGTAAGCACTAAACGAACACTAATTCACGGCCATGTCAGTGTGGCCCTTAAACGGCCAAAGACTGAGGTAATAACACTTCTGTTTACATCCGTAGAGGTCTACACTGGCGACCCTAACTGATGCTGTGAACTTTCATTCGCTTGCCCGTCTCCCTGGCTACAGAGGCCCCGCCCCCACGGGGAGTTCCAGCCACACAGATGGCTCCCTGATGGTCTGTTTACATCTTATTTGCATACTGAGATCTCCACGTCTTGTCGCTGTCACAACAGACGAGTGCGTCCGAGCTTCAAGTGCCAGCGATAACTGCAGGGGTGCTACTCCCCATCTCAAACGCACAAGACATACAGCTCACAGAAGTTTCATTATAATTTTTGTCTGGTTATTGCTTTTAACATATATGGATTAAGAAGTATTAGAAAATAAGCACGGAAAAGGATTGGTGTTATTGGGGTTTAGCACTATTTGTGCGTTTGTGTATAAGTGAACCAGGATGAGCTTTAACGAGGTCAGTTTGGTTGTGTATGGTGAAAAGGTTTCGTCGGAAGGTATTGATTTTTTAATTACATATCTTGCCTCAAAATAGCAGCAGAATGGCGCTCACTCTATAACAGCTGGCTGCAGACCCGGGAGAGAATAAACCTCATTGATATTCAAACCACTCTTTATCAAGGGGACAGAGACCTGCAAGAGAGAGAGATGGGCAGAAGAGAAAGGAAAAGAGAAAGTCATATTCACTATCTGCATTTGTGGAGTTTGTTTTTTAGAGCATAGATTAAAAAAAGAATTGTATTTTCCCCTAGTGTCATTTGATAATATTAGATAAAGCTTATGATTTGCTGCGCTGACCAACAGAAAGCTGCTTGGCTTGAAAGCAAGTTCTGTATGAGCTCTTTTTTATACATCGCTACGCTATTTACAAAAAAATGGATAAACTTGACCTTTCGACATCTGTTATTATTGACATTTTTGCAAGGTGGAAAACCTGAATGATAACGGAAAAGATTCACAATAACTGAGCTGTACAAACTGTTAAGACCGAATGAAAATTATTAAATTATAATGTATAACAGTTACTTCTGGTTATACACCCAACGGGCAGGTTATAAGTGAGCCCTTGTTCATTCATTCAGCCAATTTGTTTAAAATACTGATTAATTCGGAACCAAGAGTCATTGAATCATTAACTCAGATTTATTTGAAAATGCTGATGCCAAGTGTGAGTGAGACATAACTAGCAAATTACGTAATATTAAAGGGGTCATGAACTGCCTTTTTATTTATTATTTTGTACTATTCTCTGAGGTCCACTTTTATAATAGCCTCGTGGTTAGTGCGTTGACACAGCGCAACTGCGCTCAAGGCGACCCGAGTTCGATTCCTGTCTCGAGGTCCTTTGCCGATCCCTCTCTCCTCCCAGTGCTTTCCTGTCGTCTCGCTCTACTGTCCTGTCTATAAAAAATGCATAGAAAGGCCCATAAAAATATCTTAAAAATAAGAAATAATATGCTTATTGTAGGTTAAAATGCATAAAAACCCTGCGTTGAATTGTGCTTTGTTTGTAAACTAATCCATAGTAAACTGAAGTGAACAAAGGACCAAGTTCTTACTGACGCGGTCTGGAACTTCATTAAAAATAAAGTCCATTCAATCTTTCCTAATTTTGTGATCAGAAGGAAAGCAATGCAAAGATTGTTTTTCCACAGCTTGGCACTGTACAACATCTTGTTGTTTTCAGAGCCATTTTTATCGTTTGATTTCTGTGTAGACCTGTGTTTGCCACTCTCGTTATTTACACTATATGCGCAAAATGGTGGGCGGGGCTAAACAGGCAGTGATGTAGATGCAGGCGTTGATGATCTTCTGCGGAGGTGGAGTTTAGCCACACTGTTACATCATAAAGTGGCACATTCCACAACCTGTCATTTTGGCAGATTGGTTTCAATATAAGCTGTTTTTAGCGGTTCATGACCCCTTTAATGTATTTATTAAACTGTTAAATGCAAGAACACACTTGCAATCCTGGAAGGAGTTTTTTTTTTGTACTTTTTGAAAAAATGTATGAAAAATTATGACTGCTTTTAAATACAGTAATACATTTGCAGTTTACTAGTTTAGAATTTGAGTGTGTGCCTATATGCCTTTCTGTGCTTGAATAAGCTTTTGTGTGTTTTTTTAGAAATTCTGGATGTGCTGTGGGTTTGACAGTGTGTTTGTATGTATGTGTTCTGGCGATCCTCCAAGCGGGTCGAGGGGCCCAGCAGAGAGCAGACTGTTTCAGGGTGGCTAGGAGGAATATCTTTCTCTCGTCTTGCTGTATGCCTTCATAAACCTTACAGCTTTCTTTTCTAACAGCATTTCCCTGAGTGTGCACTGCTGTTCTTTTCTCCCTCCACCAGCATCAGGCACAATCTATTACTCCCAGTTTGATTGGCAGGTGTTGGCTCATAACTTCGAATGTTCCTCCTGCTCATTGTGAAGTAATGACTTCTGATTGTAGTGGATGGAAGCCAGCGTTTAAGCTAAATAATCTAGGCTAATGACTGCGCTCTTCAATTATTTATCAGACTCAACACGCTTGCTCTGCACAGTATATATAGACATCCTGCCGGCTGGTTGGCTGGCTGGCCTGATGACCTAGTGACTGACTGGCAGCCGTGCTGACTGGCCTATTTGCCAGGATTTGCTGAGTCACGCTGCCCATGGGGTGGAGGGGCTCTCGAGAGCTGTTCCTAGATCTGCAGGGAGGCACTTATACTGATTCTAATGTGTATTGATGTACATTTGTGTTTCACAGAGTCAACATTTTTCTGAGTATACTTTAAAGACCCCAATATATGGTTCAGCAAGTGCAGCTTTCTTTCCTCCGTTGATGTATTTACTATGAAATATCTATCTATCTATCAATCATCATTTTTCGTGAATATATGAAAATTTTTTTTTACAAATTGTAGTTCATTAAAATGATCGTTCACCCAAAAAAAATGTATCATCATTTACTCACCCTCGTATCGTTCCAAATCTGTATGAGTTTCTTTCTTATGTTGAACCTAAAGGAAGATATTTTGAAGAATGCTGGTACTCCCATTGACTTCCATTGTATTTCTTTCCCTTTATGGAAGTCAATGGGGACCAACAACTATTTGGTTCTTCAAAATATCTTCTTATGTGTTCAACATTAGAAAGAAACTTATATAGGTTTGAAACGACATAAATGATGACAAAATTTTTGGGTGAACTACTAACAATATTGTTAGTGTTTCATATTTGGAACCTAACCAACTTTTTTTTAAAAGTTTATTTTCTAAAACGTTTGGACTGAAAAGTGTGTATAGAATGGAATCATAATATGCTGATTTCCAGGCCTTATAAAAAATGATAGAAAAAGATAATTGCATATATTTAAAGTGTTATATTAGTATCATTTGCTATTATAGTATTTATTAATTTCTAATTCTTAATTAATATTAATTATTTTTATTTATTATTAACTTTCATTTTTTAATATGTTTAGTTTTAGTAATTTTGATGTGCTTTTATATTTAGTTATATATATATATATATATATATATATATATATACACATACAGTTTTAGTTTTAATACTTCAGCTTATTTTATTTCAGTTGCTAATGTAACATTACTTTTTTTCTTTCTTTTAGTTTTTAAGTTTTTTCACCTAATTTTTCTGCTCTATTTTATTTCAGCTTTATTTCCATTAACAAAAAAACTGTTTTAATAGTTTTAGTTTGAGCTAACAATAACAACAAGGTCTGGAAACCACTATTTTACATTTTACATCATCGTGAGAACCTCTAAAAGAAACACAATTGTCCAAAACACTTTAAATTTGCTATCTTTAGGTTACAAGCTCAGACTGTTAACCACTAGGCACTTTAGTGTGTGGTTACCATTTAATAAATCCAAGTGATTAGCAGCTGTATTAGATCCATGGGAACATCAAGGACACCTATTAAAAACACTAAAGCTATTTAAACCGCTCTCGTGTTGCTGGCTGAGAGAAAAGATGTGGGCATAAATGTGTTGTTGAGTGAAGAAAACCAAAGTCTGTTTAGCAAACGCCACAATGGCCTCCTCAGCCGCCCTGACAACCACAAACCGCTACAGCTACATTACAGTAAACACTGTGACTCACATACACACTGAGACAATAGTTAACGTGAGAAGGAAGCAAACAGATACAGTCTGTGTAAATGTTTATCAGGTTTAGATGATTATTCGTGTCCACAGAAACTCACGAGTGCAGTGTGTTGAGGTATTCGTGTCTCTAAGCGTAGATGGCAGAAGACACCTGCATTTGAAATGTGGCATAGGGGCTGGCGTGCAGAACTACAACCACATAATGACTGGATACCTGCCTGAACAGATGACATGTATAAACCCCCCTATCAACACAGCCTTGGTGGTCCAGTCCTCACCTTCTAGTGGGGGACAAGCACATCCATTTGTGTTAGACAGATAGAAGATAACATCTCGTGGCTTAGGCAAAGGCCAAGAGAGACTTGTGTGGGTGTTGGAATGCTATGGCTGTTTGGATCTTCACCAAAACTACTGAATTGAATTGTATCTACAAAGGTGTTTGAATGGCTATAGAAAGAAAAAAGTATGAACATGGATGAGACGGGCTGGATGGGCTGAGGGCGTAATTTGGGAAAGGGCCAATGACTAATACATGTCTATTCCCTCCTATAATACCATTAACTCTTCATGTACAGTTTCTGAACTTTTTTAGTAGAAAAAAAAAGTATTAGAAAATTATTACAAAAAACTGCATGAAGTGACAAGAAATTGTTTGGGAAAGAGAAAAGACATGGAATAAAGACACATCTTCCACAGAGAAAGTATATTAGAAAATCTTGAAGAAAAAAAACTGAAAATCATGAAATCATATGTTCAATATTGTGGCTGTAGGAATGGCAGCTAGGTTGTGTATTAACTGGACCAGTATAAAAACATCTTTTTTTTAGTATGATTTAAACTAAAGAAGCATAATGTTTTATACTATTGTTGTCAGACATTAAATATATGTATTAAAATATAATAAATGTAATGACATCATATAATATTATAATAAAATATAATAAATATAATCACATCATATTATAATATAATATAATATAGACATATATAATATAATATTGACATCATATAAAATATAATATTTAAAAAAATTAATTAATAGCTAATAATATGAATAATAATATATAGCAATGATTCCTTAAACTGGTCAAACATGACAGGAAAAACATTTATAATGTTACAAAAGACTTAAAGAATCTTGAAGGAAGGAAGGAAGGAAGGAAGGAAGGAAGGAAAGAAAGAAAGAAAGAAAGAAAGAAAGAAAGAAAGAAGAGTATCACCTTTCCACAATAATATTAGCAACTTTTTTCAACATTGATAATAACAATAAATGCTTCTTGAGCACCAAATCTGCATATTAGAATGATTTCTGAAGAATCATGTACACTGAAGGCTGGAGTAATGATGCTGATTTATTTTAAATTGTAATAATATTTTATAATATTGCTGTTTATACTGTAATTTTTGATCAAATAAATACAGCCTTGCTGAGCAAGAGACTTTCAAAAACATTAAAAATATTACCAATTTTTTGACTGGTAGTATATCTGAATCTGAACCCAAATCAAGTAGGAGCTATACTTGAATGTCCATTTCCTACATAGATATTAACAATCTGGAGATGTTACCATGATGGTTGCAGATTGAACTGATTTGCCAGACTTAAACCTATCACCAACGAGCGCTGTCTCAACCTGTTGCTAACCACTGCACCTTGGTAGAGTACAAAATACCGAGCACAGCGCATTTATGTTGCATGCTGGTGTGGCTCTTGAGTCTTTTTGTGTAAATCTAAAAGTGTTTACCAGGGATAGAGAGAAATGTTTCCTATTACAGTGACAGAGCGTGTAACACAGAGATGAATGAGATAGAGGTTGAAGGGAGAAGGAGGGTAGAGTGGCAAGAAGGAAATAAACTTTAGAGAAACGCAGACAGAGAGGGACAGACAAGGATGGATGGTGCAACTAAGCTATGCATGCTGCCAAAATCGTAGAAATAAATTAAAAAGGAGGAGTGGGGGCCCAGCAAAGGAAGTTTGTTTTGCTGTGACGTTTGTGCAGAGTCGAAAGATCTTCTGTCCTGTCGAGACGGATATGACTGCGGCCAAAAAATCTTTCCTTCAAACTTCAGCCAAAAGTTGAAGAGAGATCATATCTCTCTCATACTGGTAGCACTGAAAAAATTAAACCACTGCACACTTGATCACACAAGCATTTCACTCCTTCCCTAATTAATATACAATTAAAAAAAACTTTCTCAAGTTCAAGTAAATGTGTTATTTAATTTTGTAAACAACAATTACACAGAAATTCATTTTGATAACTCCTTTAATTCAGGTTTAATATGCTATTATCAAATAAATTATGGTGCTTGATTAAATTGTTTGGTATTAAGTGGCATGTTGATGACATGTTAATTGTTCTTTTCAAAACACATTTATGCATTTTTATGCAGCTGAAGCAGTTGATATTTGACCCTGAGGGAACCGTGCAAGAGCAAAATGAGACGGAAAATAGAGGGAAGAGAAGAAGGGGCAGTTAAAGGAACAAATTTAAGTGGTGATTATAGACCAAAAAATATATTTAAAAAAATAAATAAAATAAAAAAAGTGTAGAAAATTACTTTAAAAACTTCTAAAATTATTATATATTATTATTATTTTAATTAATTATTTTTTTTTAATCATGTTGAAATTTAATTATCATTAATCTTTCAAGATGAGTCTTGCGGAGTAAGTTGATTAAACTGCTAACAAGCCACCTGAATAAAAACAGTCAGTTTAATGACAGATATTTGAAGTTAACTACTCAAATTACCTTCACATTATAATGCAAGAATTAATAGGAAGTATGTGCAGTTGTGCACTGAACAAAAATTTGGTGTAGAAACAATTTTCACTCAGAAATGACTAAACTACTTAAAGGGGTCATATGATGCGATTTCAATTTTTCCTTTCTCTTTGGAGTGTTACAAGCTCTTGGTGCATAAAGAATATCTGTAAAGTTGCAAAGACTAAAGTCTCAAATTCAAAGAGATATTCTTTATAAAAGTTAAGAGTCAGCCACACCTACCTAAAACGCCTTGTTCTAACACGCCCCCATGTCTACGTCACGATGTGGGAAGATTTGCATAACACCGCCCAAATGTTCACGCAAAGAAAGAAGGCGTAACTTTGATTCTCGCTGTAGTATTGTTGTTGCCACCGCCATGTCATGGAGACACTGTGTGTTTCGTTGTGAAAGCAAAACTACTTTGTTTGGCCTTCCAAAAGAGGACACAACTAGAAATCAGTGGTTAAGTTGTATTTACAACACTGTTCCAAAACAGTTCAACCCAAATATTCAGATGTGTGCAGCGCATTTTATGGAGGACGAGGACTGTTTCCTGGGAGAGTAGCCTACAATGCCGGTGTCTGTTTCTATAAAGTGGGGCAATTCCAAATTTGCAAGGACAGTCTGTCGCTTCTGACTCACAGCCTGTAAGTATGTTTTCATATTTAAAGAATTTGCCAATTGTTGTTTGTCGTTTCTCTGATCACAAATGCAGATATGGTTTTATGTTTACGCAGCGCGATGCAACGCAACGCAAGTCATTATAATCAGTAATTATGTCCCCACTGGATGCAACAAATGCCTCGTTTGTAATGGGCTTTATTGTTTTTGTCTTGTCGCGCCGGGACACAGGGCATCACAGTATGGTAGGGGCATAACATTTCCGTCACACGCTTGAGATATTCGGCCAATCACAATGCACTGGATAGCTGGCCAATCAGAGTACACCCTGCTTTTCAGACCGATTAGCTTTGTAAAAATTGATGCGTTTCAGAAAGGCGGTGCATAGAGGAGAAACAATAATGTACATTATGTGGAAAATAATGTGTTTTTTTAACCTTAAACCCATTTCATTACACCAAATACACAAAATAATGTTCTTTTTAGCAATGTCATATGACCCCTTTAATACTTACTTAAATACTTATTTAAATTTCACAATTAATAGCAAAGAAAAATGACAGGTAACACGTTGAATTAAACATGAAATTTTGAAGTAGAAAAAACTAAAACGTGTTTTCTTGTAAAATGTACTCAATAATCTTTGTTTTATTTACAACTTAATTTTTTGAGCTGTGCATGTACAGAGATTATTATTGTTAATTAAAACTAAAAGCATAAAAAGGTTTTAATAATAAAAAAGTTAACTGAAATAAAACAAAATAATAAAAAAGGCAAAAAGGGGGCAAAACCACAACAAAATTACAATATTCAAAATATTTTATTGGTATATTATATTGGTAAAATGCGTTGCACAAATTCGAACATCTGGGTTGTGCTGTTCTGTTGTAAATAAATCTTAACCAATGATTCCTAATTGCATCTACTTCCGGAATGCCAAATAAAGTGCTTTTGCTTTCGCACTGAATCACACAGCGTCTCCCTGACATTGCAGTGTGAAAACCACGGTGACCCGACGACTTTGAAAATCGTGCAGTGTGAACTCGGCATTACTCTCCTTTCGCTCTGAGCGGGTTTCTCTCGCTCATGTGTTATGGTCGGGAAATGTAGAAGCTGTAGCGTCTGGACCAATCAAAAACACAATTTTTCATTTGATTTAACAAATCAGTTATTCTTAGATTCACAAGT